CCATTATCCCAGTCTATTGGGGACCCGTCGTCTCCTCCAATTCTCGTTCCAACTCCTCGCAGGACGGCTCAGGGAGTCAAAGAAGCTGTAATATTCATATCAATATTAATATCAATATTGATATTATTCTTAGTCTTTATATTAATGCCAACATTTGCTTGGAAGTACGACGAAAAATGAGAACTTAGAATGTTTCGGCATGCATGGCTAGCTGCAAAGGTGTTCATATGACGCCCTTTGCTAGGTAGGGCCCCTGCATCAAACCAGAACTAAATCACTACCTCTGCAAAATCCATGTCTAAGTGCCAAGGTGATACGCCCACCTTGGCACGAAGCTGTTCTGATAGCTGGTAACAGGCCGTGTATAAAACTGGTCTTGACTAGCAAGTCTAGCTCCTTGTCTTATTGATTCTGAGTCGGGAATAAGTGAATATAATCCCTGTACAATGATTTTCCTTATTCCCTTCTAACCCCCCTGGAAGTCTGTGGAATCGTGTTCAGTGAGGAATTGTGCCACTTTCAACCCACCACTGCCTTTCAAGTCGAGAAACGTTGCCCGAAGGGAGAACTCGGGTTTTGCCCTGACTTCTGGGTTGCTGTTAAGGGACCTTTACCATCCTGTGGGTACATAATTAAAAATGAGGTTTCCTTACTATAGTAGTTTCCATGTTCTTTTCCATTATGCTTTTGTAACCCCAAGATACTATAGTAGTTCAAAAACAGTTCCTTAAAAGCATTAACAGCAACCCAGACTTGGCCGAGGCGGGAAACGCGAAGCGCTTTCGCGTGGGCATGTGTCCAGTCCTGGCAGCGTTCACGAATCCTGGTGAGCCTGCGGCAGAAGCTATATTGTTATCATTATTTTCATTTGTATTGTTCTTGCTGTTATTGTGATTATTATTGTTATTATTATTGTTATTATTGTTGTTATTCTTATTATTCTTGTTATTATTGTTCTTATTTGTATTGTTATTGTTGTTATTGTGATTATTGTTATTCTTCTTGTTATCATCATTATTGTTATTGTCATTTGTTGTTGTTATTGTTTTCAGTATTGTTATTATTTAGGGAAAAGCTGGCCTCTGAAAAAACGACTGAGGCACCGACGTGGTGCCCTCTTGCGGGGTTTCCGCTCTCCGCCTGGGCTGCACAAACTTCTGGCGAATGGTAGGGTTTCTAGGGTGTGTAGAGTTGTAGGGTTTTAGGGTTTTAGGGTTTTAGGGTTTTATCTTTCGCTCACAAAGTGTATATACTTCCAATTGTATTGCTATATGTTACCTGCAGGATTCTTTCCTTCGGAAATTGCCAAATGTGGGCATTATTCATGCTGCTTAGCCAACCCAAAGAGATGGGACAGCAAGGTATCTCCCACTCTCAACAGTGGTAGGTTCCCTGAATGGGGGGACCCCAACATAGACCCCAAAACACTAGTCCCTATTATGGGGACCCTCAAAATGGTACCGCTAATTTTGGGAAACCCTAAACCCTGTATGACCCCTTTAAGACCCTATATATCCCCCTATAAACCCCTTTATAGGTATCCCCTAATTTTTGGGAAACCCCCAAGGTCTTGATGGCTTGCACGTGTCAAGCGAAACATGTGTTGGCCCCGCCGAGGCAAGAGCCCGAAACAGGCACCGAACGCCAGGCTCTGTGGTACAGTATGGTATAGCATGGTATAATATGGTATGATATAGTATAATGTAGAATAATATGGTATAATATGGTATAACATAATATATAATATGGCAGAATACGGTATAATATAATATAATAGCATAATATAATGTAGTAGTATATGGCTCCGTATCACTTGCTCTCAGCACTTGCATGATTTGAATATAAGGAATGGTTGATGGGCTTCGTTCCTACAAGGACTGCGATAGGCATCAACTCCCTCACTTCCTACTAAGCTTACTGGTTCTTAGTAGGGAATAAGGGGATATGTCAAAAAGAGAGGAAGTGTATTAGTAGGGAATAAGGGAATATGTTATGTAGGGGAGTATGTAAGGATTGCAGCCCCTTATTCCCTACTAGGAACCAGTGAGTACGCAGCAGGTTGCGGAGCGCTGTACTTGGGTATAGCGTGCTGCTGGTCAACACCCACACACACGACAATTCTGGCAACGACTGGGATGGGCGAGCAACCCCCATTCTTACTAGGGTAGTAGAGAATAAGGGAATAAATCCGCATATAGAGTCCACACATCATAATATTCCAACACCCAGTAAGCGTGGTTTTTCCAGTCTCCAGGCTTCCTGAAGAGCCTTATATACATGGCTAATGCCGTCTACAAACGATGGAGGAAGGCGGTCTCGCTCAAGCCATGACAGCAAAAGGGACTCAACTCAAAAGCTGTTACTACTAGCACTGGTAACTAGTAATAAGAATAAGAATGCTAATGGTACTAATTTCCTGCTGCTGCAAATTCAGTCTTCAATTGACATAACGTTTCTCCTTGCACCAGTAGGACGGGAAGCTATCACTCTCAGCGTCAGTTCTCGAAAACTGCCCACAGCTTCAACAACTGGAATTTGCGGTAGCAGGCTGCTTGAGGCACCCCCGCATGCTGCCTTGTAGATGAAATTCTCACACCCTCCTTCCTAAACCATAAACTCTAAACCCTAAGCCCTAAGGCCTAAACCCTAAGCCCTAAACCCTAAACCCCTAAACCCTAAACCCCTAAATCCCTAAACCCTACATCCTTTACTGCGTTATGTGAGGCTTCCCAAGTGGGAGTTCGGGGATTCACCCTCTGTCACATAGTACAAGGCTTCAGGACGGGCTTCGCTGTGCCGCTAAATTACTATAATTAAAGTTGCTGTTAAGGAACTGTTCTAAACTACTATAGTAAGGAAACCCCATTATTTACCAAATATCCATATGAGCAATCGTCTTAACTCCTAGTATCCCTTTCACAACCGTTACAATACTCCCCTAGATAACCCCCAGATAGTAACTTCTTTTAAGGAGTTTAGACTCTAAACCCTAAACCCTAAATCCTAAACCCTAAACCCTATATAATCCCCTATATAGCCCCATATTGCTAAGCTAATTCAAGTTCCTTAACAGCAACCCAGATTGGGCGAAGCTGAAACCAAGAAGCTCGTTTGCCACCTCAAAGGCCGTGAGCATCTGACCGGAGGCACGCTGCAACTGGAGACATTCCTGAGACTTTAATATCTGTGTCTTCAATATTATTGCTGTTTTTCTGAATATTATGACGATTATTAATAGTACACCTACTACTATTATTGGTAGTATTACCATTATGATTATTTCTGAGACTTCATCTCCAAACGCTGTTTGACAGGCAGGTTGTGAAGCTTGTTATGTCAGGACTCGTTGAGGAAGCGTGCCGACAAGAGCTGCAACAAGCGGACGAGGTCGACCTATCAAAAGCCAAACTTCTGCCAAGACCACCAAAGGCTTACCGGGGGTTAGTAGGGAATAAGTCAGTACATCTGTTTAGGGATTTAGAAAGGGATTATATTCATATTCCCTTATTCCCTACTATACCCCAGTATATACCCTATTATTCCACAGTAATTTCCAAGTTCTTCTCCATCATCCCTATATAACCCCAATATGCTCCCTTATTCCCTACTAACCCTAAACACTAAACCGTTGGTATTCCCTATTCCCTGCTAACCCCCAGAAAGAAGAAGGCGAAGCAGGGCCTCAACGTGCTCTGCACAGCAGCGGTCCAGGAGAACATCTGGCTCCAAGGCCGTGAAGCTGTGTACGAGCGGCGCCACCTCTTAGGGCTTAGGGGTTAGGGTTTAGGGATTTAGGGGTTTAGGGTTTAGGGTTTAGGATTTAGAGTTTAGGATTTAGGGTTTAGGATTTAGGGTTAATAAGGGATAAGAGCTTGCGTGATATGTACATATATATATATGTACATATATATGGATTCAAGGATCATGTTCGCCTTTTCCCAACTAGCCCCCAGTAAGTTTTCCCGTACAAGTCCTATCCAGTACAATGCGTTGCTGCTTGCCCTAAACTCTGAACCCTAAGCCCCAAACTCCTAAACACAAGACTCTAAACTCTAAACTCTGCACCCTATACCCTAAATTCTAAACCCTAAACCCTAAACTCTCAAACCTAAACCCTAAAATCTAAAACCTAAACTTAGCTAGTGCAATGTGCCAATCTGCTCTTCACCTCGCGCAGCGGTGCGAAGCTCAGGGACTCAGCCACTGTACCCAGACCGCCCCGCAGCACGGAAAAGATATCCATGGGGAGCAGTAATCGGAATAACAATAATAAGATAAGAAACAGAATAAGTTTAGTGATATACGAAAACATAAAAAGAGAGTATTAAATAATGGCCATAAAAATAGTAACAGTTGTAGTTGTAATAATAGTAGTTCTGATAATCATAATGAGAATAATAGTTTTCATATTCATAGTGATAGTAAACATGATCCCAATACTCAACTTTGCCCTTTTTACCTCTGAGCCTTCATTACTACCACTCAGCACTTACGCTTGCATGTAACGGAGCGCTCCGGTGCCAGTGGGTTTTGCTTCGCGATGGTAGCAGGCTGGGTTGAGGATTTAAGGTTAAAAGTTTAGAGTTTAGGGTTAAGAGTCTAGTAGGGCTTCGGGCATGTTGGGGTTGGAGTCTGCACGTTCACAACAAAACCACTTGCCCAGTCGACGCTTGTCAATTCTGGCAAGACAAGCCAAATTCAACGGCGATGTCAAGTTGATTGCATGTAGATGTATCAGAAACTGCGGAGGCAACAAGCACAACCTTCTCAAGTTGTAAACGGTCAGGGTCAATCTGAGGCTTGGGCCATAACATGATCCTCAGAAGCAAGAAGATGCTGGTGCGGGGGCGTCCGCCCGCTCGACCACAAGGATTTAAATGACAGAGGTATCGTTGCATCTACTAAAAATAGCAGTGACGATCTGATTACTGGGGAGACTAGGAAGCGTTTGAAGCCAAAAATGTTAGGATTCTGGCAGGGATCCTAACTGTAAGTCCTAATTACTCTGAGATGGCAGCGGCAATGGCCGCCACGGACGGGTAATCGAAGATGAGCGTGAAAGGCATGTCCACTCCAGGCATCTGACAGAACAGACAAAGCTCCTTCCTCTCTTGGCCCGTCTTTTGACAAACAATTCCCAGATGGACGATTCAAGAACATGATGTACCCTTTTTTGAGTACTCTTCTCAATGCAAGCTTGCTTTAGAGCACAACATCGGAAATGTCGCTTTGAATCCCCAGTTGTTATCTGTGAGATGTCCACTCACATTGTTTAATTACATTGCCTAGCAATAGAGAATTCAAGAGTGGAAGTAAAAATGACATTTACGCATGTAACAATACTGGTACTAAAACAATACAAAACGAATCGAAATCACGGCAGCAATCGTGGTAGCATTATGACAGCAATGATATTTTGTGCTACAACTTTTGGAAAATGAAACTTCAGAAGAAGCAAAGGATCATGCGAGTAGTGTTTTTTTGGTGGTTGAACCTAGTAAGATAATATTCCTGAGGATATAATCTTACTCTATATGGTAGTTTCTCAAAATAAGGGTACCTCAATATAGGCCCAAAATATCATAGTCCTTATTATTGGGACTCCCAAAAGGGTACCCCTAGTTTTGGGAAACCCCCATATTGGGTACCATAGTATATGCAGATAAAGTACTACTCACGTATTCCTGCCTCCTCGCTGAGCATATTCCGCAAGCCCACCGCTGTGCGGCTGGTGACACCCACCTTCATACTTGCAGGAGTAACAGCGGTGCTAGTCAGGCTAATCCCAATACGTACAGGTAATGGTGGTGGTAGTAGTGATAGAACATCCTGATGATAATATTTCTGAGAAACAGTTACGATAGCACTGACTGCAGTTGTGATAGAAATCACGATATGCGGCAAGCATGCAGCCGTGGCTGTCTCAAGCAGAGATGCTTTGGGGGAAGGCTACTGAACACAGAAGGCCTGCGGGACTCCAGGATTGGTAAGTGGGTAGTTCCCAAACTTCTCAAAGCAGGCAGAGGGTTTAGGGTTTGGGGTCCAGGGTTTAGGGTGTAAGGTTGAGGTTTAGGGTTGAGGGTTTAGGGTTTAGGGCCCATTTTGGTACCCCTAAATATCAGTGCCATAAAAGCATATATACCCAAAAGGGGCCAATTATGAGAACAACCCAAATCATTAACAAGGACGACATGGGGGTCTGCGTTGAGGGTTTGAATTCTGTTGAAAAAACCAAGGCTGTATCTTCCGATTCTCAAATGCTCCTGAAACTTCTTCACGAACTTGTTACTATTACCATTATTATTAATACTATTAGTGCTATTATCACTATTGTTAATTCTATTATTACTATTATTCCAGCCATCTCTGCTCTAAAGATCCCCAAAAGAAAAATTAAGCATATCCAGGATTACTAGTAGGTGTCAGGCTGAGTGGACTCATAACAGCCACCACTACTCTAATGCTTGCTCAAAATCAGATCCGTGATTCATAGCGGGTGAGGGGATTTATAACAACCCCGGAAGCCTTCTAATGTAGTAACTCTCACTGTTGCCATCGTTTGCTTGCCTTTCTCAACTCTTACTTCGAGATCCGTGCCTGCATCAGCGGCTGGTCGAGGTCAATTTGTTCGGAGTCGTCTAAATCGGCTGTGAACCTGCCAGCATCTGCCAGTTTACTTTCTGGGGGTTTAGCAGGGAATACGGGAATATAATCGCTGTAAATCCCTATAAAATATGTTCCCATTTTCCCTACTAACCTCCAGTAAGTTTAGGGTGCGGAGCATAGAATCTAGGGGTTTCGGATTAGGGTGTAGGGTTCGGTGTCTTTCTCTCTGTCTTCTTCGTTTTCTGGGGGGGAAGAGGTTAGGGTCTAGGGATTTCAGGATTGTTAAGCCAGATTTTCTAAATTCTAGATCCGACTTAGAAACTTTAAAGTACAAAGACGTCTAGGGGTGGGTAGTGCAGTATGTAACGAAAACAAAATGATTAAGGCCTCAGTTCTCCAAACTGCTGGCATTTCAGAGTCTAGGTTGGTGTTCTCTATTTGAGGTCCCTGCTTCTTGGCAAAAGCAGTAGTGTATGTCAAGGGGCCCCAACTCCAGAAACCACAAGTCGGGACATGGCGGTCTGGTGTTAGAACAAAGGAATTACAAATGTTCAGATCAAAATTGCCAGGCTGCTCTTACGAAAAGATTCCAAGACAGGATCGTTGAAGTCCTACACTAAACCTTCCGGAAACATGACTCCTAGCTGCCAGTTCCTCCGGTCATTGCATGAACTTGTTGCTACATGGTAATTTCCCTCAGAAGAAGGACCCAATATAGACGCCAAAATACTACAATCCTTCTTATGGAACCCCCAAAATAGTAGCCCTAATTTGGGGAAACCCCTACATGTTTTACATGAACATGCGGTACCCTTCGTTACGGCCGATGGGCTTGCCATCCTATAAGACAAACTAAGCCTGCAGAACTTTCATAGGATCTCAGAAATGCCAGTCAACGCTAGGCCCCAAAATTCTAGGTCCCAGCAAACTTGCCGAAGATTGGGGCTCAGGATTGAGTCCGGCTTAATGAAGCTCTAGTTCTGACCGGCAATGATACACTGCTCCTCCGCTGAAAATGAGACACATGGTGTGAGAGGACGAGCAGATATGGCACCTAGCCTTGACGCGGGCAGTATCTTCTACGCACATATTTAGCTGAAATCTATCTTAAATCACTATGAAGGTGTGGGAATTGTCGTGAACACGACAGTTCAAAAGAGTAAAGAAAGCACGGGCCTGACAATCTCCTCCACACGCTTTCGAACGGTATCTGTGCCTTTGCTGGGAAGGAAGCAAAGGCTGGGACGACGGTTCTTAGCATGAGCCATTCTAAAATCCCAGTATCTCCCTACATGACCCCTATAGTAGTCCCCTATATGATTCCTGTACAACCCCAGTTCAGCTCCTTCAAGAAGCCCCTTTAGCTACCCCTGCAATGTGAAGGCATGACCTTGAACTGCAACAACCACGTGGAAGCGTTTAGAGTGGAGGGTGCCCACTCGTTACATCCTAAGCACAGGAATCATATAGTCTAATGTATTATAATACACTATAGTATAAAATACAATAACATAAGGAAGCACTAAAAAGAGACTCCCAATGTGTTGTAAACTCCCGTGGCCCATAGGGCCCAAGCTGACGTTGGCGATGTCTAGCCTGGGCAGGCTCAGTGCAGACCACTAAGACGAGGCCAGGAAGTGCTTTAACATCTCAACTAGTAATGTCGTATAGTTTTATCTACGATAATATAGTATAATATAGTATAATATACTATAGTACTATGGTAAACTATAGTTTTACTATATTATAGGATAAAAATATACTGCGCAGCAGCATGGCAAGATGCTCAGTCTGCAGCTTCGCGCCCGGATCCGTCCGCCTTCTCGCACGCGGCTCCTGGCCAAGGCCAGACAAATACGCTGCGCTCCAATGCCTGCGGTGCCTGGTTAAGGGTAGGGGATATATATATATATATGTGGGTTCTGTATGGGTTATATAGGGGTTATATAGGGGATTTATTGGTGATATATTTGAGATAATGGAAGAGAAAATGGAAAATACTACAGAACAAAGACTAATATACTGTAGCAGTTTCCCTTTTCTTGCGGATGTGCGCCTGCTGCTGGCGTTGCAGCGCCTGCGGCATCTGGCTGCCTTGCTGCCCTTGCTGCTGCTGTTGCTGGGACTGCCTCAGCAACACTGTATACCATAGTAGACTACTACAATATACTATAATGTACTATAGTATACTATAATATACTATAGTATACAATAATATACTATAATCTGTACTAATATACTATAACATACTATAATATACTATAATATACTATAATAGACTATAATATACTACAATATACTATAATAGACTATCGTATACTATAATACACCATAATACACTAATAGGCAGCTGAGTACGCTTCATACAGCATACTTACAGCATCCTACAGGCTCTGCCCTTCTTGGTGCCGTGCTGCCATGCTTGCCACTGTGCCCACTGCTCTGGTGTCCAATCGGTGCCCGGAAGGGGTTGCTCCTTAGCTTCCAGCAAAATCACAGTTCACCACATCAACTGCCTTCTGTAAAATCGTATGAAGAAAACCTACAAACCGGCCTCGGGCGGGCCAGTGATTTGCTCGAGGATGTTCATCCTCAGCTTATCAGAAGAATCATACCACACAAAATGCCGCACAGAAACTTGGCCACCAGCGCGATCCACTCTCCCCGAGAGTCCCGGTATTCCTGGAAGATCGCCAAGGCCTTCCAGTTAGCTCTACTTGCCCCCAAAAGGAGCTTGGAGGACAGCTTTCTTGGACCTTGTTAATGATGACCAAGGCTTTGTTGGCGTTGCCATTGGTGAAGTGGGTGTCTGCCTCCATAATATAACAGCATATCATACAATATCATATAGTGTAATAGAATATGAAAAAGTATAGTATGACATAATTTCATATAATATAATAGAGTATAATACAACATAGTAGAGTATAATCTGATATATTAATGCGGGCACGGCTGAAGCTCAGCCCTGCCTCCAGGCACATCACGTTCGCCTTGTCCCTTTCACTACCGAGCTCCTCAAAGATGGCCATGGCCTCACAAACTCAGCGCATAGTTTCCCTAAATAGGGGAACCCAATATACTATAACCCTCAATATGAGGACTCCCTATTCTTAGTATTCTGAATTATTAATATTAGTAGCATTCATCTTGTTCTTGATATTGTCATTACCATTAGAAATAGTAATTGTTGAATTACTAGTACTATTGTTATTATGCATCCCTCTGTCGCAACTTTCTGGGCCTCTTCGGCCGTTTTCAGGGCGTCGTCGCACCTTGCTTCCCCTCTACCAGCCTACCACGCCCTAAAGCCTAAACCCTTAAACCCTTAAAGCCTTAAACACTCAACCCTGAACCTTAAACCCTACCCAGAAACTTTGAGCGTCTGAGCATCCAACCGAAGGCCTGTGAGCTGCACCTGGCCTGCAATCAACAGAGCCTGGCACAGAAAATGCGCAGGCGAGCTAATATAACAACGACAGTAGTAAGAGTTCCTGTAATAGTAACAGTAAGACTAATGGTAATGAGAATAAGAAAACTAGCACGAATTATAGTGACCAAAACGCAGCAGGAGACAGCAAGTTGCGGGTTGGGACAGAGCCTGCCCGAGCTGCTGTTGGAACCGCTTGCTACGCCTTACGGGTGGGATGGTTGATGGACTGGCTGAAGGTCATCTGAGCCATAGTCTAAACTCCAAATATCCTCCTGAATAACCCCTGTAACCCCCATTCTAGTCCCCATACAATCCCCTATTTAGGCCCCTTTAAGAAGTTTAGACTATAGTGACTTTGGCACTGAGCACAGAACGCGAATGCTATCGCAGCTTCGGCCTCAGCGGCTTCTGTTTTAGTTTTAGGGTATCTGCTTCGCAGCTGTTAAATCTTCATGTTGAAGAAGTACACCCTAGATATGCCAGCTGTTCAACAACAAAAGGCATACAAGAATTGAGACCAACAGCCGAGGGGCTTTGCAAACTAGACCCCAAGAGCACTCGAAAAACAGTCTAGGCAATGCGAAAAGCCCCCTGCACATCTGCCATGCAAAGGTAAACGTTGGGCAGATGGGAAGTTAATCGCTGAATGAAGGAGTTTGATGTTGTGGTTGCGCATCTGCTGTTTGGGGTGGTTGCAGAGTGAGCTCTATGCTGATTGCACTGAGTGGACCTTGAGGACCTTTTCGGAGAACATCCCTGGCTTTTTGGGCTACCAGCTACCAGTGACAGTGAGGCTGTTTGTAATCAACCCTTACTTTGAAGTGTCCATAGAGGACTGCTGCTAGAAAGTGCGTGGGAACAAGCCGGGCGGCTTGGGTTGGATTCAGGCACAGGGCAAGATGGCCACCTCTTTGAGAAACTCCCATCCCCCCAGTCTGTTTCATATTCCATGTTCTGCCCCATTGGATCCTCCGCTACTAGAGGATAATGGCCCTAAACCCAAACCTCCAAACCCTAAACCCTAAACCCACCCCAAGCCGAAACCCCAAACTCTGAAGCCCAAAGCCTCAACCCCAAACCCTAAACCCTAAACACCAAACCCAAACCCCAAACCCCAAATCCTAAATGATATTCTGCCTCTGGTTCTGAGGCCGTGACCGCCTGCCCAGCATCGGCCAAGGCAGATGCGAAGGCTGGGGAGCCACGCTGCGCCCGGAGCTTGTCCTCCGAAGGGTGTTGGGGTTTTAGGGTTGGGCTTTAGGGTTTAGGGTTTGGGGATCATCTACGGATTATGGAAAGGAAATGGAAGCTACCATTTTGGTGTTTGAGGCTTAGGGTATATTTCCCCTTAACTAGATCATAGTAAGATCCCCATATACCCCATATTCTATCTACATAAGGGAGACTGTAGGCTTTCGAGCTGCCTTGAAAATTGTTTTTTTTGGAGCTTCAGGTTCAGCGTTTAGGGTCTACAGGGGTTCAGGTTCAGGTGATCTGACCAGCGGCGAGGCTGCGGGAATCTCATGTTCCGTCAGGCTTTGTAGGTTTTGGGTGTAGGATCCGTAGCTTGGGGATTCAGGGTTTTGGGGTACATGATGTCACGTTGAAAGCTTAGCTAGCGGTGAAGTTCATGGGGACTTGACTCCACCGCCCCTGCGCTCGGGCGGCCTCATACTCAAGCTGAAATGGCTTTTTGAGGATTCTTCATGTGGGAACACCAATGTTCAATCCCTAGTTTCCATTTCATTTTCCATTATCTTTTCCATTTGATTTGGTTTCTTCCAAGCCAGAGGCCTTTCAGGTCCTTCTTGTGTGCTCTTGGAACGTCAAGTTGCACAATCTGCACCGCGAAATGCTGGCTACTAGAGAATTGTGTCTCGCGGAAACGGTTGGCGACCTGCTGGCGGCTGCCCTTCGAGCTTCGCGCTCAATGTGGTCGCTGCGCTACTCTTTTGGAAGAGCAATGGAGGAACAGTCCTTCCCGCAGGGCGTGATGCAGACCTACATGCACGACTCGCAGCCGGAGCCCTCTCAGATGTGCCGGAGGTACATGCCGGACATGACCCGCACTTTTTGCGATGACGAGGATGTCCGGCAGACCCTGCTAGATCACGCTGGGAAGTACAGCAGGGATCTGTACAACGTCTTGCAGAGCCCCGCCCATCGTGCGGACCTGTTCAGGTATGTGTACTTGTACGAGCATGGCGGCCTCTACCTGGACATCAAGTGCTCGCTGAGGATGCCGTTTGACGATCTTCGGTCCTGCTTGGCTGAGGAGTGGGGCACTGCCCAGGCCTACGCGCACTCTGCGCTGGGCACTGCCCGTCGCCGGCCGGACAGCTTCCGAAGGACTACATGGTCATGGCCATTGGAAACCGCGGGGATCACATCTTTCAGGGCATCATCTACTGCCGCCCTCGCCACCCGCTGCTCCTGGAGGCCATCATCCAGTTCTATAGCCCGGCCATTGTCGACGGGGCGGCGGCGAACGACTACCTCATTTTTTGCACGTTTCTCTACGGTGCGCTCAGGGACAGCGTTGGACATCCCCCGCAGCATGGGTGGAACATCTCGAGCCGACACGGTCCGGTTTACTTGCTGAGGGAGCACCACAGCAGAGACCTCCAGGCCCAGTCGGAGATCCCCATGGACGGCCACTACATGATCACGCGCCACAACAAGATAGCCATGTTCACTCGGTGCTGGAACTGGAAGCGTGCTTTGCCGGGAACCTGGCCGCCAAAGCGAGGAATGAGGCGCAAATGCTTCGCTCCATGCCTGACGCAGCGTCTGACGCAGCCTGGGCAAGAAGTCAGGCGGCGTCTCCCACCAGCTCGGCTTCTGGAGGCGACGCCCCTACCAACGCTGAGCTACAACAGTGGGCGGATGAGGCCATCGCGGGCAACCTCTACGAGAAGATAATGGACGCCCTCTCCCAGACGAAGTACTATCAAGACCTCAACGGCAACGACGTCCTTGACCTCATCCCTAAAGGTCTCTGCCTCTCTGAGGACCAGCCCGGCTATCTTAGTTGCAGACACTGACTCAATAAGAAGTCTCGCAGGAATGTTACCTTTCCGACCAGCGTTGGGGTAGTCAACCAGTTTCGTCGTGGCTCGTACCACACGCCCGGAGCAGCTCCCACAAACCGCAGCAGCCTCATCGGCACCACCCCAGGGGCCCTGCCCGATTTCACCGTCGGCCCCTGGGCGCAGCGGATCCTGCACCGGGCAAAGCGCCTGCTCCGCCCAACACACCGACCAAGCGACCTGGCCTGGAGTCGGGCATCGTGGAGGGCCCGTTTTGGAGGTTTTCAAGGCTGCCAAGGTTGTGTTTAAGCCTCCCCCACCCCTCTTGGACACTGCGGTCCAGCCCCACGCCCCACCAGGCCCGCCGCCCAAACCCTGTGAACCAAGTGGGCCACCACCACCTAAGCCGCAACTACCGGCGGCAAGCCTGCTGTCCCAGAGGACATTGGCACGCACGATACGGGCAGACCTCCTAAGCCGGACCAGCCGCCTGTACAGGAAGAGCCGTCTCCCCCCGCCCCTCCCCCGTCCCTCAAGGAGGAGGCCGGCCTAGTCGCCGCGCTCTTATGAGCTTCAGGAGTGGCTTCGAGTCCTGTGCCGCACGCACGTCCTGACTCAGCAAATGCTACTTGCAGGCTTGGAGTATGATGAGCTATTACCACTCTGGGCCAAACGGATGAAGGTGATACTCACGCCCCCTCCCCTGTTCGACAGCATCAAGCTGGCCAGGACCGAGAGAGGCGTAACATGGCACGCCATCGAGACAGCCAAGCTTGTCGCTGCAGACAATGGATTAGTTGCGGTTGCCACCGGCAAAGACACGACGTACACTGTCTTGGATCGCGGCTCAAAGCTTCAGGGTGCTCTCTCTGCCCTGTTTGGCAAGATGTGGGACTATCCGCCGCTGTGCGACATAGTGCAGGACCACACTCGCTTCACGCTCATCGCCACTTCCATCAAGGCAGTCTACGACCACACGGCTCGCAAGATGGAGCTGCAGGCCAGACTTGTCGTTGCGCAGGACGGCAAACATGTACATGTCAAGCACAACTGCGGCGACTCGCCAACGTACCTCCAGCAGCATCCGGAGTTGGCCCAGACGGCAACGAAGCGTCAACGAACTCAGCATCGTAGTCTCCCACCGAGCCGGGCCTCTCGGGTCGAGCCATCTGCAGCTCCTACGCCCAGCCGGCTTCCTCGACGATGAGACCTACTGAGCCTCCCTATCCACCTTCTCAGGCGAGGGAGACTTGGAGTTGGGATGGATGGGGATCGTGGAGCGCATATGGCAACAGCCAAGGCTGGGACTCTGACTGGGCAGGCAAATGGTCCCGCAATCACTAATCACTGAGGTCGTGATTTGGGGATGCCCCTGGCCCAGCACTGCTGACCTCTCCGGAGCCTACAGCGCTGTCGAGTGAGAGCTGCAGCATTAGTGGTAATTAGGAATCATTCCCGCCAGGTCAAAGGTCGTCTAAGGCGCCAAACGGGACCTCTTTTGGCGCAGAGCTCTGCCGTCGAGCGCAAAATACTGCAGTACAGGAATTTCACAGTTCACAGCCACGTGTTGCGACCCTTGGGGAGCACTTTTTCCCGAGTCATCGCGCCAGGTGGCCTGGTTGATAGGCTCTGCAACCTTCTGAGTAGCGCGCAGATGCTAAGCTCAGTGGAGGTCTAAAGAGCCTCATGTGCTTGCGACTGGGGCCCCAGCGACGGAGCAGCTGAGTTTAGTGCGTAGTGTGCAATTGCTGTAGGTCCATTTCTGTAGCCGCTGGAGCGGTCTTTTTTCTTTCGGTTAGTCTATCTTCTCTGTTCTTCCTATCGTTGTTTCCTACCGGAATCCCGGGCTGCAGACCGATGGCTAACTAATCACTCGCTGTTTCACTTGGAGTGAAGGGTCAGAAGCGCCCGCTATGCTCAGAGCACGCTCGAGCTGCGTTCAATTCAAATTTCCATTTGATTTTCCATTACAGTAGTTTCCATTTTCTTTTCCATTATCCCAATATAATCTAAACCCTAGACCCTCTAGTCTGGCAAGGGTCGGCCGGGAGATGGGATGCTTCACGGCTGGAAGGCCAGTGTCTGGAGAAAAATGTCGGCGGCTTTGGGGGAAGAGACCTATGTGGACCGTGTCGTGGCACAGACTCAGCAGACCAGAATTCAGATTTGTGTTACTTGATCTGCTCTCAACTTGCAGATACGGTCAAGCAGTGCAGCGCTTTTTGTACTTCCCTCCATGGTCAACCGAAATTCTGGCTTGAAGTGCATTGCTCTGCAGAAAGGCCAGGCGGTTTGAGGCATGTGCGCCCTGAATAGTTGTTCCAGACCTTTGGTGGGAGCAGGCACGCAGTGGCGCTTGGAACCCAAGAACCCTGCTTGAAAGAGGCAGTTGGGTTCTTCCGTCAGAACAGGGGAGCGCACTTGCTTGCATCATATCATCCAAGCAGAGGGATCCTCGAGATGCGCTCCCAACAACTAGTTTGGCATTAATGGCTCCAACTGCATGCAAAATGCCGCTCATACAAGCCAGCAGACTCTCTGAAGAGCGTCCCAACCCTTGTCAGTTCTAGATGGAAACACATGCGTGCCTGCGCCAAGACCTGCAGCTTTATCGTCGCCACGACTTGTAGCGACTGCGCCTGATCGGCTCTACAGTATTCTCCAAGTCTAGATAACCAATGCTGTCAAAAGTAGTGTTGCCTGCGCGAAGTCCTGAAATGCCCTTGCTGACATGAAATGACCACTAACACGATCTCCATCGTTTCATCACAATGCCTTGTTCACAAAACGCCTGCTCATCCTGCTGCTGCTGCCACGACATCCACTTAGCAAAGGGCTCTTAATTCTAAGGTGGTAACCACAGAGCCCAACTAGGCGCTTGATCTGAGGGTAAAACTCGAAAAAAAGATTAGTGTGCACCTGCTGCAGGGGCCCAAGCTTAGGTTGCAGGACGCAAGAATCTCTGTTTAGCAGTAAGAACAATGAAACCTTAGGCCCTAAACCGTCATGCCTCCTCAGAGTCCTTCTGCTTGCCGCGGAAGAGGCGCACCGACTGTAAAGGGGCACGAGACATAGCCAGTGAGGCAACCAGTTCGAGACTCTGTTCCAGACATCTTATTGTTACTTCTTTTGCGACTATTCTGACTAGTACGACTCCTAGTATTCGTACAATTACCTGTTTCTGTAGGTCATGCGCATATATCCGTAAAGGACCCTCCACTTTCACACAAGGACATTCGTTGAGCCCAGGGCTCTCTCGGCAGCCTTCAGCGCCTGCAAAAAGGTCGGTCACCTACTACGAAGTCCTCCGATGGTAAATACCCTCTTTCTGGTACAGCATCAAAAGTTGACGATCACGAGGGGATTCATTTGCAGGGATGCTGCTGTGCTATGCAAGTTTTTTTCACTATATAACATGCTCGTCTTTGACGCGCCACAAATATGTGGGGATTTCCCTAAATTAGAGGTAACTTTTTGGGGATCCCCAGCATAAGGATTAGAGTATTGTTGGTTTTATGTGAGGGTCCCCCTAGTTACGGGAACTAGCATATGAACTATAGTCTGAACTCCTAGTATCCCCCTTAGTAACCCCCTACAATAGTCCCCTATATAATCCCCTAATTAACCTCCATTCTGGGAGTTTAGAGTATACTGCATATGGAAGTCTGCAGAACATCCTCGAGCCTGAGGAAGCTCGCCATTGGCGAGGTAAGCCTGTACAACGTCACGCGGATGACTGCAATCATGCTGAAATCCAAAGGATACGAGAAACTACTGGTGCTTGGTAGGGAATAAGAGAATATAATCCTTGTATAATACTACTTAAAGATCTATTCCCTCGTTCCCTACTAAGAACCATTTAATGATTAAGACAACGCTCAACACCAGAATTTCATTGATGACCTGTCGTGACTTGCTTCAGCTAACGCAGTGCCTCAGCCACGATACGCACCGCGGACGCCTGTCCAACAGGAACACTCGCTGACTTCAGACACCAAATGCTAGACCCCGTTTCTCTGCGAACAAGTGCTCAAGGGATGGGGAGGAGCTGCAGAGGATCTCATGTTGGATACAATCCGGGTACCAAAATGGACCTTACTTTTGGGAACTACCCATATTGGAGACGTGACGATTTGCAGAATGGCGTGAAACGGACGAATTTGGATACGATTTCGACACAAGGAGGGTCAGGGGACTTAGTAAGTCGGACAATAAATCTGATATGATGTTGGGATACTAGTTCCATACACGTTTCAATACGGTTCTGAAGTCGTGCCATCCCCTTGACACTATCTCCATCAAATTTTCAGAGTGTTCTCTACGCTTCTCCAGACCTTCCCCACCGGGTCGGTCCGGAAGCCCTCCTACTACCTTTGTTCTTACTATCATGTCTACAGTTATTCTATCCTGATTACAAGTATGACTACTATTCTAATTACATTTCTTATTAGTTTTATGATTGCTTGATTGCTGTGTCTTTACTACTTGTATTATGAACATTGCTATTACTACGTTCTTGTCTATTCTATAGCTCGTTGGCATGTCATCAGCAGTTGAAGATTTTCACAAGCGCGGGAACTGCCGTCATGGATGTAACAGAACCACTGACTGATTTGGTGGAGCAAAATGTATCGTAATCGTAGCTCCATCCCTATGGAAATTGAAGTATAGTAAACCGACAAATAGAAGCTATTTCACAAATTAATTCGCCCCAATGGCCCTGTGAATCACAGTCCTACGAAGCATACAGAATAACTGAATGAATCTTTTCTTCACGTCTAATTGCTTCCTCATCCGCGTGCGCGGCAATGTCGTGAAGAAGTGCTTGAGCCTGCAACACAGCGAAGAGCAGACAGCAACACAAAATCCGGGTCGCCTGCATACAGTATCCCAAGTTATAAAGCATAAGCAGGACACCCAAACAAGCACAAACTTGCTGGCGGTTAGCAGGGAACAACGGAAGCCCTATATAAGCCCTGTAGAATGTATTCCCTTATTCCCTACTAACGCCTGTGAGCAACTCTCACAGGAAGAGCCCCTTGCCGTGTTGCCTCTCGTGCAACCATGACTGCTTGGGTGAAATCCTTCCTGAGCCAGAGGCAGTTGATCCAGCATGGGATGAAAAAGGGGTTATATAAGTTTATATGGGTGATATATAGGGGTGATACAAGGGAATGCTCCCAACCACCACTGGTATGGCATGTCACCCTTGCGGCTATGCGGCTGGGTGTAGTGGATGTTGGCGACCATGAGCCTTGCGATAGCCTTGCCAGAAGCACCAACAAAAAGTTGTTTTCAAATAAGCTTTTCTCTAAACTCCTAGTATCCCCCTTAGTAACCCCTAACATACTATCCTATAAAATCCCCATATGGCCCCCTTTAAGGACTTTAGACTGCTCAGATATCTCACCTGGGTTCGGCCTCTCGCTTCTTGTCGTTCTTGTCATTGCACAGGCTAACCAACTCCTGCGCCGTCTTCATGGCCTGCCAAAAAACTGGTTGTTGTTAAGGAAGTTGAGCTAAGTTACCAGAATATGGGTATATGGGGTTTCGGGCTTAGGAAAGTTTCAGAACCACATATAATGAGGAAAGCCGATCATTTGCGACAGGCCCATAATATGGTAACTTACTTAAGTTCCTTAGCAGCTTAGCAACCCAGAAGACCAACGCATCCGGCTGGAAGTCAGATCAGGCTCAGGCCTCTTCCAGGTCACCCTGCTGAAGGAAGGCCTGCACAATCAGCACAAACTGGATACAGGGGATACTAGGGAATTACTCTAGGGGCTATATAGGGATTATATGGGGTTTTTTTAGGGGTTCTATGGGGGTTATATAAGGGCTATATAGGGGTTACATAAGGGTTATATGGGATTATAGGCGGGTACTATAGGCTAGGGGTCATAAGGGTTTTTAGGGGTTATATTATATACAATGGGTGGGGTTGTCACACATCAGTCGGTGAGAACATGCATCTCACCATGTAGACGCTGCATCAGGGAAAACATACATCATTTGGGAAATGACGCGTTACCGGATGCAAATCCCCAAGGAGACGGTGTGCTCTGAAGAGCCGGACAGAACACCCCCATGACCCCTTTCAAAGAAACCCGGATATGATGGACTAGTTGCAGGCCAGAGCTCCTCATACACGGTCTCCTGTGCAATAGCCGTCTCGTGAAGAGAGACGTCCATGGACGCAATTTCTTGCCTTGGCACAGAAAAACACTGAAGCTCCTTGACCTAACTGGTGGTTAGGAGGACCTAGGGATGGACAGGAAAGGGAAACTTCTATACTTTTTGGGAGGATCCATGAACCCTAAACGCTAAACCGCCTAAACCCTAATGTAACTCGAAGCCTGCTGAGACCCCAGCGCAACCTGGAAGGCCTTCTCGGGCCGGGAAGTCTCCAAGTGCAGCCTTGCTCGTCAAACTCTCACCCTACCACTTTGGAAAAAACATCAGAGCATGTTTTACCTTATTGTTGCCATACAATCCCCCAACAAGACAGTATCTAATCCCAAACAAGATACTACAGTGCACTAAGTACACTGTAGTATCTTGTTTGGGATTATATACTGTCTTGTTGGGGATTGTATGGGGACGACTACTACAAGGATCTATTCCCCGATTGCAAAATTCCCAGCAAGCAGTAGACAGTCTGCTGAGTATATGGGAGTTTCCAAAAGTAGCGGCCCCCTTACATGCACCAGTATAGGAAGCCCCCGAAAAGGAACAATAGTTTTTGGAAACCCCCACATCTAGGACCCCTGCTGGGAGAGAATGAGCAGCATCGCAGTCTCTCCACCCTGCACCGGCGAAAAAAAATCCTCTCTTGATCCGAGGGTCTCCCAAAATTAGGGGTACTCCTCTTGGAGGGTCCCTATAATCAGGATCATACTATATTGCGGTCTATATATTGGGGTAACCCCCCCCTTGTTGTGAAGCTTCCATTCAACAGCAAAAGCCAAAGGTCAAGGATGTACACGCCAACTCCCAGCCTTCTCTCCAAGCTCCTTCAGCTCACTAGTGCTTAGTCGGGAAGAAGGGAATATAATCCATACATAATCTCTATATGGGGCTATTAGGGAATAAGAACACATATTACATAGGGATTCTATAGGGATTAGATTCCGTCATTTAACGCCAGTACATGCGGGATTCTAATGCTTCAGGAGCGCCATGGTGGCACGCTCTGCTGCGAGCGGCGCTTCCCAAGATGTGTTTTTTGTCAGGCACACAAGATAGCAATAGTAGCAACGATAGTAACAGTAATAATGCACATACCAATAGTGACAGTAATTTTGCCAATAGGAGAGAATGCGACGGGCTTCCAATCTTCCCTTCCTCGCGCTGTGGAAGATTATAGGTTCGGGTTTAGGTTTTGGGGAGATTTTCAAACTCATTTGGCAAGCAGTTTGTTGCAATATGCTTGCGAAAGCGTTCATTTTTGTACCCTGCTGCGCAAGAATTTGCAGCCTGTTTGATCTTCAGCCTTCGTTTTTGGTCTGTCGTATGTAGCCTCGCAACGGAACCGTCAGGAGATTTCAGTACTGGTTTCCATGAGTGCTTCCAGAAAACGAAGAATAGCAAGAATAGGGCATCCGAAACACGCGGGCACAAACAAAGACCGCATTCATGCAACCTATACTGTTTTCGGTCGATACCCGAAGCGGCTTGGGGATCTAAGAGTTGGAATGCCACTCAACTTTGGCCTGTTCCGAATACAGAATGATGTTCTGCAAGCATTGGGAAATACACGCAGCATTATGAAGTCGGACACCCTGCGAGGAAAGGAGGCCCCCCTCAACCCTCTATCCATAAACCCTCTCTACCCCCTTCCTGGCTCATGCCACAGTACAGTTGCCGACTCCGGTCTTTCAAATGGTTCCACAAAACTGCCGCACTGCTAATCCGGACTACGGCATTCCAACATGTTGCCACTTCGGACACGACTTACGCACTTTGGGAAACCCTAAACCCTAAATGGTAGTTTCCATTCTATTTTCCATTATCCCCATACAATCCCAATATAACCCCCAATATACTATAGTAGTTTCCATTCTCTTTTCCATTATCCCAGTATAACCCCCAATATACTATAGTAGTTTCCTATGATAGAGGCCGTTAAGTATACCTCTGATAGGAGGCCAGGCTGTACAGTTCCCAGACTAAGGTCCGCGCTTTGCTCTTTCGGCGACCTAGGCACCGGCCGCACTTTGCAACATCTAAGAGTGGGATGGGGTTTCGGGTTAAAGGTATAGGAGGGACCACAGGAAAATGCCGTGGGAATCGTCAATTGTTTGATATTCTTGTTTCAGGAGGACAGTAGTCGATGTACTTGAGGCTGACTGCTGCAGATACACCCCTCAACATCCTGCGAACTGCAGCCGCCTCGGTGTGAACACCACGATTGTATCACACACTTAGCACCGGGCTCCTCAGCTTGCGTCTTACCTGGCAACTTCATGTGACTTTGCATGTGGGAGATTGCCTAAGACTCTACCCGCAAAGCATGGTAAGCCAGTTGTTGGACCCACAAGTTTTCGTAGGAAGCCAGGTACAATGACCCGCGCAGCGTTGGATTTAGGACAACCCTCGCGTAGCATCGAGCCAAATCCCCCATCTTGCCTGCTTCCAGGTCGTCCCCCACAGATGTGGCACAAAAGCAGCAGAAGAGCTTCTTGACGCCTGGAGAGATTCATTACTACTATTACTAGTATTACTACTATTCATGTTACTACTACTAGTATTGGTATTGGTATTTGTAGTATTGCGACTATTAGTATTACAAATAATATTACTACAATTAGTAATGGGGTTTAGGCTTATGGATTAGGGATCCTGATGAGCACGCAGCAGTTTCCATCACAAAGCATTGCGTGACCGGCAAGCAACAAGGTGGGTATGAAGGGATGTCAAAAGCATGGCCCCTTTTTGGTACCCTAAGTGTTAGGGGTTGTATCCCTAGACCCCAAACCCGATACCCTATCACAATGGGGACCCATAAAGGCAGCACAATTTTGACAACCCTACACCCGGTAAGGGCGCTGTCCTTTGGGCTTCATATCCTCGTGCTCATCAAAGAAGAGCGTCCTGTTGTCCTTCAGGTTCCGCCAGATCCTGAGAATTTGAGGGGGATTTTGAAAATTGCCAAAAAGAACCCTAAATCCTGACACCCAAAAAGAGACCAGAATTTTGACAACCTGCATACTGTGCATGAGCTGCAGGATTCCCAGAAAGTGCCCAGCACTCCCCCAGACAGTGTGGGTGTTTGCAACCACAAACAAATCTCTGACTACTAAGAAGGTACCTGTGATGCGCAAGGTCTGTTCAAATGTTTGGTAGTTTCGCAAATAGGCGGACCCCAATATAGACCCCAAATACTATAGTCCTTTTTTTGGGGAAACCACCAAAATCGTACCCCTAATTTTGTGAAACCCCCTCATTTTCCCAAAAGAACAGAAAGCCATGGCTTGAGTGGAAGCTGAATGCTTGGAAAGTTTGCTCTGCTAATCGATAAACACCCCCTAAACCCTAAGCCCTAAACCCTAAACCCAGCGGGGGGGGAAACACTCCAAATGGTCCAATGGACTTGCATTCCCCGCACACAGCTGTGAACCTCCTCAAAGTTATGTGTTCCTGCTTTGGGGTAATGTAGGGTTTAGGGTTTAGGGTTTAGGGTTTAGGGTAGGCTCGCGTACCGGCAGGGCCCACCAGAAGAAGACTCTAGATTTCCCGATGTGGATACTTAAGCACAAGCTCACAACAGGCCGTCAAGACATGAGGTTCTACCATGGGCACCCGGAAAGAGGACCAATTTAAACATATGCCCGATATCCCAAACTCCTGCATCCTGAATCCTACACCCATTTGCAAAACATCCAAAAGCACCCTGAAGTCTAGCCCCCAAACCTAGGAGCCCAGCCAATACTGGCCGAGCGCACCCACGAAGCCGAGAACCTGAACAAACACACGGGTTGTTCTCCAAATTATGGGGGGTTTAGGGTTTAGGGTATAGCAGAAGCAATGACGCAGGAGTTTCTGAACATGGAAGGGTTGCAGGGACGCCAGGGACCCATGGTAATTTCCATAATATAGCAATATAGGGGTTATATAGGGATTATATAGGGACAATGGAAGAGAAAATGGAAACTACTGCTTAGGGTTTAGGGTTTAGTGTAATTTCCATGAGTGGGGGGCACCCCTATCTAGAATACTGTAATCCTTGTTACGGGTACCCCCAAGAAAGTACCCCTGATTTCGGAAAAAGAAACCCCTTTGAGGGATTACCAGGTGGTTTTTGGGTCCTTATCAGTGGTGCTCATTGCTCATGGTTGAGGGGTCATATCCGATCCAGGGTTTGGCGTTGTGAGCAACACTAGGCTTAAGCTTTAGGGTTGAGAAGGTTGAGGGGCATCCAACTTCCCTTCCTCCCACAGCCAAGTTCTAGCTGATTGAATCCTTGCATTGAGGGGCTTGTTGCGCAAGGAGGTTTTGAGATGGATTTTCTAAGTTGCAAGCACTATGAGCTACAAAGCTTTCCACTGAGTCCGCCGCTCCGGCTAGCAGCCAGACAAACCTTGGTCCACATTACCCTAGGAAGAAAAAGGATCTTTTTTCCTAAATATAAGGAATCCCATACCCAAAAAGTAACAAGGATACGTAACATTGATCCAGAAACCCGCCGGTGGAGAAAGTGTCCGCCAACCCAGCACAAGCCTCTCGGAACAAGGCTTGGAACCACAACATGTTCAGCAAAACGAAACGTTCACAACATTGACCAACGGCGATGACAAGTCATATCAGAAACTATCCAAAGCAAACAAATCAACATCATGGCACCCAGCACCAACTGTGATGAGCAAGAAGAAGGGATGTACACTTACAATCTCGCAGTATCAGTACGATCGAAGTGTATCATTCAAGGCGTTTTGGCGGTCCCGCCTGGTCCGTTGCCACTTGCCAGGCATCAAAGACCTGGAGAAACCCACAAGATGCCAATATCACCCTTTCAATGCTATCTTCATCTTCTTCTTCTTTCTCCTACTCATCTCCCTCTGCTCCTGTGTGCTGTTGCACTAGAACCACACTTCCAACCACTACACCTCCGTCTCAAACTCGCACATGCACATGGTCACATGGGGCTTCCAAAACTAGGAGGTCCCAACACTAATCCCAAAAATCCTATGTCCTATGACCGCTCTTATAGGAACCCCAAAAAGCCAGAAAGGCACCCCTAATTTGACCACCCCTAATTGAGCCACCACTAATTTAACCACCCCTCATTTAATGAGGGCACCACACTTGCTTTGCAGTCCGGTGGCTGGCGTGCAGTCTAGGCCCGTCTGCAGCGAACTAAGACTCGGGTGGGCGGCCAAGGTCTGGCAGATGCTCAGGAGCACGTGGCATATCTAAGGGTATAGTATGATATAGGGGATTGTATAGGAGGCTACTATACGGGCATAGTAGAATATAGGGGATTCTATAGGGACTATATCTCATGGTATAGTATAATATAGGGGATTATATAGGGGACTACTAGAAGGGTTAAACAGGGGCTACTAGGGGTTTAGACCATAGCTCATATAGGTTGGCTCATTCCCGCTTCAAGGAACAGCTACCACACTGGGTAACAGGGCTTATAATCGTTGATAGCGCCCCTTTAAGGACAGCTTCTGTAACGGTATCTAGTACAGGCTGGTAGCCTTGCGCACAAAAGGTTTAAAGGACATTATCTTAACACCCTCCCATCACAACTAACTGCATAATATTACCATTCTTACTATTTGCCATGATTATGACCATTATTAGGACTACTACTAGTAGTACTATTGCTATTGTTATGACTATTGCTTGTACGTACATATTCATACGATTCGTATTTGTATTATCAACAGAGAGTCTGACAATGCCTGCACGTCCGACAAAGTGCTCTGCCACGCGCCGTTGGACTGCCTGCAGAGGAAAAAAAAAAGTTCCAGGCCGTCTGCTTATCCCACACACATGCAATTTTTGGAAACCCCCACATGCTGTTTAGGGTTTAGGGTTTAGGGATTGGGGGGCCCGATATAAACACTCAACTATTAGAATCCTGATTATAGGGATCCCATCCCGAATGAAAACTTGGAAACCCCCACATGCTGTTGCACTGAGGCCTCATGACCGGCAGTGCACCGGAGATGTCTTGCCTGGCAGAGAGATGGAGGGGAGGGTCCTCAACATAGGGTACTCTTGGGGACCCTAGGAATGTACGGGGGCTAGAAGGTGAACATGGGGTCTCCCTCCAGGACTATAAGGGAGGATTTGGTAAGCTCCCAAATAATAACCTCACAATGCTTCCATGCAGGACCTGGCCGGTTTCGCCTGATTAAGCCTGAGATCCTTCTTTTCGGAGTGTCTTAAAAAAGTGGTGCAGATATGAGGGGTTCCGGTATTTTTGCGGGGGGTACCTGCATTCAGGACTGTAATCTATATTCTATTGGGGTATATGAGGGGTCCCACACCATGATCTCTATGACATCTTGGGGTTGCTCAGGAGCACTTACCTACATGCCCCCTGGACTAAAGTTATAATGTATTCGTTAAAGGTCCCCCAAAGCCCCCATTATTATACATCCCCCTCTAGGCCCCCCAGCCTAAACCCTAAACCCTAAACTCTAAACTCTAGACCCTAAACCCTAAACCGTACTACCATAATTGCTATTGTTTTCCCACTACAGGTTCCCTCCCAACCTAACTTTACTCTGGAGCCCACATGCCAGGGAGTCCCAGACTGCAAGGCCAGCTGCGCCAGCGTCTGCATGTTGGCCTGGAACCTTGCTACTTCTGAGAGGGTTTAGGGTTTAGGATAAGAGGTTTTTTTTTGTCGGACCTTTTCTCCCAGCATGATCTTTAGGGTTCAGGGTTTAGGGCTTGGGGTTAAGGGTTTAGGGTTTAGGATTAAGGGCTTAGGCTTTAGGGTAAAAGGGTTTAGGGTTTGGGTTAAGGATTTAGGGTTTGGAGTTTAGGGTCAGAGACTTCTGGCCAGCTACCTTTCTTCAATGTTCAACTAGCTGATATGATCATAACCGATGTCTTTTGTACTGTCATACAGCTACGGTCCCACCGTGGTTCTTTACTTCCTAAACCCTAAACCCTACATTCTTTTCAAGGCCATAGCATTACTCAAGCCCTATCTCAGACAAGAAGCGTTGGCAAGTCGCAGGCGGTGCTCGTGGGCGCCTGGAGGTCAGGCGTCCCAAATCTCATCAATGCATTCTCTGGACCTTTCTCTCCCAAACAAACATGGAAGCCCAAAGTTGAGGGTTTAGGTTTTAGGGCCTAAGGGTTAAGGGTCAAGGGTTTAGGGTTGAGGGCCATGGGTTTAGGGTTGAGGTTTCAAGGCTCCACAAAAAGGGCTATGTGGGCTTCCACGTCTGTTTGACGGAGAGTAAGCCCTTAACTCTGACGGAGGTACCTGGGTCAGCGAGATCCACGTATAGCACGTGTATGCCTCGCAAGCCAAGATGACAACCAGCTCAGCCTGTCTGGGTTATTTTCTTTTCCACTATCCATACATAAGGCCAATATACCCGATAATAGTATTCTCTTCCAGTATCCATAACTAGCCCCAATGTATACCCTATTATAATACAGTAGTGTTCCTTATCTCTTTCATTCTCTTCACATTACGCCGAAATATGCCCGATTATAATATTGTACTTTCCATGTTCTTCTGCAGTAAGCATATATAACCCAAATATACACCATCCCAAACCCCGGGCCTGTGCGCTGGGATCGGCGGGTGTAGGCGTGAAGCTGGAGGCAGTGCTCTGCGCCTGTCCGCAGCCACCAGATGCTTTGCTCTGAGACTAGCAGAGATGTGTGGCCAGACTTATGAATGTATTGTACCTGATACACCAGGATGCGTTCAACGGTACGCCGAAGAACTGGCCTGTGAGTCCAAATTTTGGTACCTGCAAAGGGCACAGTGTGGTTGCAGTCCCGAAGAAGCTTCCAGCAATGGGATTGGAAGCTTCGGAAGCCATCTCATGGCGCACTGAGTCAGAATTGGATTGAAGTCAAAGGTGAGTGCCGAGTTGAGGTCTGTCGCCATGTCGGAAAGTCCCTGCACCGGCACGGAGAGCCTCAGCTGCAAATCATCGTCCCATCTTGACCGCACTCGCCAGAATCCGCATGATTGCAGCTATCTTTTGAATGATGACTGCAAGTGCAACTTACCAGTGCTCATGGCGGCAGTGCGACAGTGACCAGCTACAAGCTATCGTTGCCCTATCTGCAAATTGCATGGGCCTTAGCCCGGAGCCCGAGCAACGGGAAAAGATCCCGTGAAGCCACGTCCGCATCGGGTCCCAAGCAAGCCTTCCAGTAGCAATAGACCAGTTCGCTGAGGCATCCTAGGCATCCCCTGAGAAGTTGCATCCTACGGCACATCAGGAATCGTGAAAGGAGTCTTAACCATTGCAAAAGCACGAGCCAGCGCACAGGGACAAGACTTCGTCAAGGAGGGCACATACCCTGATACCCCGTCGTCTTGGGAACATGACAGGTTAACCATCTCATGCAAGGCCCTGGCAAATCAGTGCTCAAATCGAATTCCGCAGACTATCATTCAAATCGAATTCCGCAGACTATCAGTTTCCGCTCTCTTCCCACGGCATCCTTAAGATCCTGTGTCTTGTCATAGAGCACACAGGGCTTGCGAAATTGAAGCCCGTACTTCTACGCAGGCTGTCCGTGACGCCCATAGCTGCTGACTGGGGCCTTCTCTCTCCAACAAACGATGGGGTGACAAACCCCACCAACACGTAAACTCAAGCTAAACGACTGACGCATGCACAGGCCATGACTGCTGGGGAGAGTTGGGTGACATGACGGACTGCACCTCCACTGCTCCTAATACCCGATTTTACCTGCCAGCTGCCCACATGCTACAAATGCCTCACCTACACAGTCGCCTACACTCATGGTCCAGCCATGGTTAAGGGCACCTCTTCCAAATTAGGAAAATGGGTGCACCGCGCAAGGACTCATTTTTGCCGCAGAACTTCCCAATTCTCTGGGCTTCTCGGGAATGGTATGTGTCGCTCACACATTGACACGGGCGCGCGCACGTGTCGCGCGCCTGAAGCAAACTATGCTCATGTTCCTAAGCACTCGCTCGCCTTCCCATAATTTCGTGTCCGGGCAATAAGATAAGAAAGGCGTTCGGGCAAAATCTGCAAGGAAAATGGCACGTAGTGGCACGAGCTGGACAGGTGCCAGCTAAACTGCTAAACGTCTTAAAACGGCCTGGTTGGAAAACAGCTTGCAAAACCCTGCGCTCGAGGTCAATCTCTGTGTAGAATTTGACGTTTGGCGGCGTTACTTTGTAAGTTGCAAGGTTCTGCGCGCACTAGGCACAGGCTCTAATTCAAGCTGACCATATGGATAAGATCGGATAAAAAAATTCAGTCCGCATGGTCACAATATGGCCTCCAAGATCCTGTTGTCCCTGGCGGACAGTTCCCCCTCAGCCTCGCTCGGAGAATCGAATGAAACGCGGGAGCTGCAGCTGGGGCCATAAGTGAAGGCAGTCTGTCGTGAGGCTTCACGCTTGAGATTGTCATCCACCTGGTCATCCTGAGGCGGAACTTCAGGATCCTGATCAGACTGGCTTCTGACGGCCTC